ATAGGTGTTGGTATACCTAGGGTAACATTTATTACCCAGTGCACGTTCCACTCATATAAATGCATGCCTTGTGAACATTAACACTAAGGGGGCGAATTTTGTGTAAGCGCTAAGTAATATCCCAGACTGTAGAAAGTCTGTGATCAAGAGCCTCTCATATCCCCACTCAATTTATGTACTCTTATTTTAGGACACAGTTGAGAAATATGTCCTTCAAAGATCATTATAAATTGAAAAAGCATTGAGTTGAAGATTCTTGAGTAAAAGCTTCAGCTTAGTATATAAGAGGTCACCTGAAGCATGTCCCATACTTATCATATAAGAGGTCTCCTGAAGCATGTCCCATGCTACCTTCTAGAGTGATGTTAACTGCTGTCTCAGTTTTCCCAGAAATAAGAGAGTTCCTAAGATCATTTAGTGCAAAAAGTAAGAAGTTGGGGGGAGATGGGAAGGCAGGGATGGTAAGGGGAAACAAAGGAGGAGGCAACAAAGCTTGATAAGAAATGTACTCATTACTTTGCTCATGTAATTGTAACCCCTCTGTATGGTATTTTCACAATAAAAAACTAATTAATAATAAAAAAATCTAAAAAAAGTAAGAAGTTCAAGGCAAACGAGGAAGTTGGTCACCCTAGTTACCTCAGATAATGAATGTAAGTTAAAAATAAGATACATGTGTATAATAAGCCAGGTACTGGTGGGTCATGATTATAATCACAGCTACTCAGGAGTCTGAGATCTGAAGATCTAGGTTCAAAGCTAGCTAGGCCAGACAAATTCATAAGACTATTATCTCCAGTTAACCAGCAAAAAGATAGAACTGGAGGCATGACTCAAGTGGTAGAGCACCAGCCGTGAGTAGAAAAATCAAACAAGAGCCTGAGGTCCAGAGTTCAAGGCCCAGTACTGACACAAGAAATAAACAACAAAAACCATGTGTAATGGTTATCTCAATAGATGCAGAAAAGGCATTTGACAAGATCCAACACCCCTTTATGATGAAGGTTCTGGAAAAATTAGGAATCCATGGAACATTCCTCAATACAATAAAGGCTGTATATGACAAACCTACAGCCAGCATTATACTTAATGGTGAAAAACTAAAGCCATTTCCTCTTAACTCAGGAACGAGACAAGGATGTTCACTCTCTCCACTTCTCTTCAATCTAGTATTAGAATGCCTAGCCACAGCAATAAGACAAGATGCAAACATAAAGGGGATCCAAATAGGGAAAGATGAAGTAATACTCTCCCTCTTTGCAGATGACATGGTCTTGTATTTAAAGAATCCCATAGACTCCACTCCAAATTACTCAAGCTGATTCAAAACTTTGGCAAAGTAGCAGGGTATAAAATTAACCCTCAAAAATCAATGGCTTTTCTGTATGCCAACAATGAGCAAAGTATGGGTGAAATTAGGAAAGCAACTCCATTCGTAATAGCCCCACAAAAAAATAAAATACCTAGGAATTAACTTAACCAAAGAAGTGAAGGACCTCTATGATGAAAACTTTAAAAACTTGAAATAGAAAATCAAAACAGAACTTAGAAAGTGGGAAAAACTCCCATGCTCCTGGATTGGAAAAATCAGCATCGTGAAATTGGCGATACTTCCCAAGAATATCTACAAATTCAATGCGATACCTATCAATATTCCGACCTCATTCTTCAAGGAAATAGAAGAGGCAACCCAAAAATTCATATGGAACAATAAAAGACCCTGAATAGCAAAAACGATCTTCAACAGAAAGAACAGTGCTGGAGGAATATCAATACCAAATTTCAAACTCTACTATAAAGCCATAGTAATCAAAACAGTTTGGTACTGGCACAAGAACAGACTTCAGGACCAATGGAATAGAATTGAAAACCCAGAAATGAACCTACAGACCTATAGCCATCTAATCTTTGATAAGGGAGCTAAAAAAAAATTGAATGGAAGAAAGACAGCCTCTTCAGTAAATGGTGCTGGCAAATTGGTTAACTACTTGTAGAAAACTAAAGCTAGATCCTTATATATCACCCTGCACCAGAACCAACTCCAAATAGATCAAAGACCTCGGAGTCAAAGCAGACACTCTGAAAACATTACAGGATGGAATAGGAGAAACCCTAGGTCTCCTTGGCACAGGCTGAAATTTTCTTAATAGAGACCCAGAAACACAACAAATCAAAGAAAGGTTGGACAAATGGGACTGCATGAAATTGCAGAGCTTCTGCATGGCAAAGGACATAGCTAGCAAGATCAATAGAAAGCCCACGGATTGGGAGAACTTCACTAGCTATACAATGGACAAGGGTCTCATATCTAAAATATACCTGGAACTCAAAAAATTAAATCCCTCAACAAGAAATCTTCAAAGAAACAACTGCCCAATAAATAAGTGGGCTAAAGACTTAAAGAGAAACTTCTCTGAAGTGGAAAGAAGGATGGCCAATAGACACATGAAGAAATACCCAACCTCTCTAGCCATAAAAGCAATGCAAATCAAAACAACATTGAGATACCACCTCACCCCAGTTAGAATGGCTATAATCAAGAACTCTAATAACAACAGATGCTGGAGGGGATGTGGACAGAAGGGAACCTCACTGCATTGTTGGTGGGAGTGTAAACTTGTTCAACCACTTTGGAAAGCAGTATGGAGGTTCCTCAAAAGACTCCACATAGAGCTCCCCTATGACCCAGCAATCCCGCTTTGGGGCATTTACCCAAATGTTCATAAACAAGACCACACTAAAGCTACCTGCACGACTATGTTTATTGCAGCATTATTTACCATAGCTAAGATATGGAACCAACCCAGATTCCCCTCAGTAAATGAATAAATCAAGAAAATGTGGTATATATACACAATGGAATTCTATGCCTCCATCAGAAAGAATGACATTGCCCCATTTGTTAGGAAATGGAAAGACTTGGAAAAAATTATATTAAGTGAAGTAAGCCAGACCCAAAGAAACATAGGTCCCATGGTTTCCCTTATTTGCAGTAACTAGTATATGTCTGAGTCAAGCAGAAAAGGTCAGATAAGATGATGTTAGGGAAATGAACCTAAGATATGTATTCAAATGTCTTTTTTTATGCGATTGTTTCTAACACATTTATAAGATTATATTTTTTATTGCTTTGTATGTCCCTCCCCCACAGTATAACTAACCCCTGTTTTCACTGTATTTGATGTTGGTATAATTGGTGGAGGGGAGGGGAAAAAACAAATCCTTTAAATAGGGATACAGGTGGACCCATTGCAACAATGAGATGTAAAAGTCGTTATGTCGTAAACGAACTTTACAACTTTGGGGGGGGGAAGGATTGAGTGGGGGGCGGGGGGGGGAGGATGGGAAGGGATAGTTAGGGGAAACCAAGGAGGAGGCTACAATGCTTGATAAGAAATGTACTCATTATCTTGCCCATGTAATTGTAAACCCTCCGTACAGTATTTTCACAATTAAAAAAAAACTCGTGTGTTATATGGGTATGACATTGATATAAATAAAATGTGGATAAAATATATTTTAGGCTCTTCATAATGGGACCTCTGTAGCTATGAAAATGTCTTTGTTGGGGGTACAAAGGTATGTAGGTCCTAGTAACTCTTGTTTGTATCACTAGACGCTAATCTGTCATAAGGTCAGGCCTGTTACTGGGCATCATGGACAAGGCAAACTTGGGCCAGAAATTCTCTAGCAGACCTTATTCCTTCCTTTGCTGTTTGTGGGTTCATAGTACAAACTGGAGATGGCATTGCTCTTGTTTACTGCTATATCCCCAGTGACTAGCACTGTGCCTGGAATCTAATAGGCACTCAGTACATATCTAATCAATAAATGAATTGACTGATGGACCACATAGTTTAGAATACAAGGAAAGGATTGTCTTTTTCTTTTTCTTATTTTCTTTCTTGTTTTGCTTTGTGAATCTAGTCTCCTCTCAGAGTCTCAAACTACAGTCCATTCAGAAGAAAATCTCACAAAGTACTTGGCAGGAACAATCTTTGCTGCACCCAGAAAAATGGTTTGATGCCCTTTGGCCTCTAGAAAGGATTAGCACTTGAAATCTTCCCAACAGAGAGCTTTGCTTCCGTATCCCTGATTTGTCAGGGTCTTTAGGGAAATAGTTATATGCTGTAGGCCAGAGGTTATTAGTTATTGTGGTTGTGCTTTGGCCCTGAGCTGTTATAGTGGGGATGCCTCAGATCTCTTCTCAAAGTTATTCCTATAGCCTCTTTTACAGAAGGCTTTGGCTTATCTCATATGTATTTCTAATTCATTTTCACATTCTTCCTGCATGAGAGATTTGCTGCGCCCATTTTAGAGATAAAGAACTAGAGGCAAGCAAAATATCTCCCAAGGGGCTAGGTGCTGGTGGCTTGTGCCAGCAATCCTACCTACACAGGAAGCTGAGATGTGAAGATCACAGATCAAAGCCAGCCCAGGCAAGAAAGTCTGTGAGATTCTTATCTCTAATTAACCACCAGAAAACAGGAAGAGGAGCCTGGCTGAAAGTGGTAGAGGGCTAACCTTGAGCAAAAGAGCTCAGGGACAGTACCTTGGCCCTGAGTTCTAACTGCACGACCAAAAACAACAACAACAAAATTATCTCAAGGAATTGGAAACTGAGAAGGGTAAGTAAAGTGATTTTTCCCTTGCTTTCCAGCTCAGGGTCCTTCAGACTAGTCCATTTGTTCTCCACTACTCTCTAGGTAGAGGAAAATAAGCACACAGTATGTGTTGTAAAAAACGTTCTGAAAGGAGAAACTTGTTTCTGTAGATCCAATTATTTCTCCTTTTCTCCAAGCACAATTTAAACGGCATTAGTTTGGAAATACTTGCCAGGCCAGAAAAGCCCTTTGGTATGGGAGAGGAAATAATCGCCAATAGAATTAGTTGCTCTTAGCTCTTTGATTTTAACATGTATCCCTTGTAGTTGGAAGAGCAAAGATGATTCATTAGAAAGCCAAGGATGAGGAGTCCTGGGTTTGAGTATTACCTCTTTGGGAAAAATTCCTAATGGAGATGTGTTTGTGGGTGTTGAGGAGTGAGTCTTAAATACTATTTTGTGACTGTTGATATAGAACTTTTTTTTTTCAGCTTTGGAAGGGAGGAAGGCTGAGAGGCTAAAGAGAAAAGATACTTTCCCAGCTGGGGAGGAAAGGCACAATGTAAGAAGTAGAGAATGAGTAATACATATAGAAGCAAGAGAAACAAAAAGAAAAGAGATCAAAGATGGAGTTGCTAGATGGAGGATGCAGAGAGGTGAGCAGGATTCTGAGACCAAGCCTCTGAGAGGACTTTGTAGTGTCATGAATTTCCCAGTTCTCAAGTTATTCTATTGATAATGGCATGATTTTCTCTCTGTCCAGTTTCACAGAGAGCTCATTCCAACAAGTCTGCCCAAGTTGGTTATACAACTGTGATGTTGAGAGTCTGGTACTAGGGCCTGCTGAAGTGATGAAAGAGAATCTTTCCTGTCAATCTTGTAGACCAGCCTGGAAGACAGAGCAGAGGTTCGTAGGGGAAAAACAAAAACTCAACCATTTTAGACAGTGACCTGGAAGGAAAACACCATGTAATGGAGGCGGGTGATTGAGGAGAGAACAGGGAAGAAAAGCCTTAAGCTTGAAGTTTGAACAGCTTTTTGGCTCCTAAAATATCCCTATTTTGATCTTGGCTAATGGTCCCTTAAAAATCATAAGGTTTCCCTCTGCCGTATCAGACTCCCTTTAGACTAAAGACTTGTACTTCCCTAGTTGGAACAGCAGATCACAGAAAGAGGTTTTAGAATAGAAGAACTATCTATCAGTTTGTTCAGCCTGCTTAGAGCCTCCTGATACAGTTCCACTGGAACAACAATTGCTTTAGGAGACACAAGAAAGGACATAAAGGACATAATTACTGGCACAGGTTTGATTTTCAGGTTTTAGTCACATTAGTAATAAGCCTTAGCCCATTTTCAGGCACATCCCAGGGTCCTAAGCAGGCCCCAGACTGCTGGTATAGCTTTGTAATAATTGAGACCTGGTGATGATGACACTCCATTATGAGCTCAGAGCCAACCTTAATATAAGCAGGAGGGGATTGACTGTGGCAGGTGGGGTTGGGTGGGTGCAGGGAACCAGGTGAAGATAGTGTCATCCTAGTGTAGCCCTCAGTAACTGCAACAATCTTTTGTTGCCGGAACATCAACACAGGCAATTTAACTGGACAAGGGACTCTGGACTGATTGGAAGCCTGCTCTTCTTTCTTAAGGTAGGCATTAAGAAGCCATCAGTATCAAAATTCCTATTAAGATAACCTAAAGACAGGTTTGATACAACTGAGGAAATGGTGGGGATCATAAACTTTTCTTCCTTTCTGCCAATTCTGTATTTCTTTTTCCAGTCCTCAATATGGGACAAGAAAGGCTTTTAGGTCTCTTGAAGAATGAATCTTACTCAAGATGAAGCTGTGAGTCCATCCACTAGAGGGCAGGCTGCCTAGGAACCAACTAAAGAGCTAGAAAGAAGCAAGAATTAATACTTTTGGAAAAACTGCTACTTGACACACAAGGGGTGTGAAAGCATGGAGAAAGTGTGAAATACTATTCATGTGGACATATGATAGGGATGTTCCAGGAGCAGTTGAGGTAGCAGGTGGGTGTTAGAGAAAAGTTCTTGTTTTGATATGGTTCAAACAGGATTTTTCTTTCTTTTTTATGGTACTAGGAATTGAACCCAGAAACTACATTCTTTCTAGGTGAGCACACTGCTGCTCAGCTACATCTCCAATCCTTCAAAGCCAGGGTTTGAACAGTAGGTAATTATTTCCTACCCCCCAGAAGCCATTTTATCCTTGCTCTTTTGATTTGGAAACAGATTAGGCAGAAAACATGGAGTCAAAGACAGACCAGAATTTTGTGTCTCTGAAGATTAAGCAATCAGTATGTAGCTCAGCCAAGGTTTGCAGCCTTACTTATAATTGGACCTTTGCTTCTGTGAGAGTAGCCCAGGCACCTCTGTTGTCATGACAACTTACCTAGCACCTATTGTCTGAGCAATTGAGGGTAAACTGCTCTGTTGTCATGACAACAAGCTTTCTGTAATATTTCCCCAGGTGATCAGTCTGCTATAGAAGAAATGGGGTTAACGAACAAGAGTGAGGAAGAACAACACCTCAAGCCCAACAACTCTGATGTAGCCAATGAAGATCAAGAAGAAATTCAACAATTAGAAGAGGCAAGTAGTGTTATTTCAATACTAACAGTTATGGGGGCCTTCTTTTAATGCTCCCTTAGAAAAGCTTCAGTGTCTGATTCTTGAATGCTTAGCCATTGATAGTGTAGGACATCTGGGGTGCCTCCTTCTGAGTTTGCAGAGAGACTGGAGCAGTCATTAATACTTCTCAAAGCAATAGCATATGAACAAACTGGATAAGGTTCTAATATTAGCAAACATACTTTCAGTGCTTACAACATTCCAGGTATTGTGCCCATACTTTTAATCATTCTACTGCCTTATAGGAGTTAATATCCTTTTGGCGAAACAAGGAAGCAGAATCAAAGAGGTTCTGTGAGCTTACCTATAACCAGCCTTGGACTAGAATCTAAGTTCCTGATTATCCAGTCTTTGAGGTGTAGGTTAAGTCCTAGTTTGGGGGAGGAATAGTAGGGAGAAAGGATTCCAAAGGAAATGGGCCCCTCCCTAGTCATACTCACAATGCGTTGGCGTCTCTGCCTTCTTCGGAGTCTCATGAATTCCTTATGCTGACGAGAAACAAAATTGACAGCAGCATACTCCAGCAAGGCAGCGAACACGAAGAGCAGGCAGACAGCCATCCAGATGTCAATCGCCTTCACGTAGGACACCTACAATATCCATCAGCAGAGCAGTCAGCCTCCTTGGACTGTTTCCATTGCCTATCCAGTGGATTTCCAACTCATACCAATTGCCTGTTGTTCTTCAGTTTTATCCTGAATTTCTGGTGATTTTTAAAGAAGCTTACCAGGATATGGCCCATTGTCTGAGGAACCACATGAAAAAGATCTGGCTACCCATGATTCTTCACCTCTCTGCACTCTTCACCTTCCACTTCTATCAACCTTTTCTCCCTACACTTCTTTTTCTTTCTTTCTTAATTCTTCTTGCCTTTTTGCTTCTGCTTCTGTTTCTTATTATTCTTTTCATTCTTTTCTGCTTCTGATCTCTTCTTCTGATTCATTTCTTCTTCCAATTCTTCTCTAAGTTTCCCCCTTCTGATTCTTTCCTTCTTCTGATTCTTGTAATAAATAGCAGTGATCATGAATATGGCATTTGTTTGCCCTCTGTTACTCTACAGGTTCTCACGCCTATAGTGGTAGTTTGGAAGGGTTCATGATTTACATTTGACACACATAAGGGTATCTAAGGGTCAGAGAGAAATGGTCTTAGCAAGAATTACTCAGTGAGATCATAGCACTAGGACTTGGAAGTTCTGGGTTTTCCATTCAGTGGCCTTATCATTTACTTAGGCTGCAGCCTCACAGACAGACTAGGAGGTCCTTTATTGCCCATTTTTACCTTCTTCTTCTATTGGCATTGTTTTTTTCCTGTTGCTTTTTGCAAAAGGAAATGCAGCTCAGCAGTGAGCTGGAGTTTCATCTCTCATTTAGGAGAGGAGAACAGGGTAGGGTCCCAAGGAAGCAGTACCAACCTCCTGTCATTGCATTTCACTAACTGCAAGGCACTATTGACATCCACCTGTCCAGTTCTTAGTTTTGTCTTCTCACAACATGCCTGGACAGCTTTTGTGAATATTTATCTCCCACTTCCCTTGTGAAGGTTGTAACTGACCTCTTTGGGAACTGGGTGGTTCCAGGAGTAGGAAGAGAACTCAGGTTTATGAGATCCTTTCACCTCTTCTATCTAGAGTGACTCCTTACAGCAACATAGCACGAGTAGATTTTTTGTTTTTGTCGGTTGTGGGCACTGTCCCTCAGCCCTTCAGCTCAAGGCTAGCACTCTACTACTTGAGCCACAGTGCCACTTCCGGCTTTTTCTGCTTATGTGGTGCTGAGGAATCGAATTCAGGGCCCCATGCATGCAAGGCAAACACTCTACCACTGAGCCACCTTCCCAGCCTAACAGGAGTAGATTTTATGACATACAATTTCTTTCATCACCTGCTATGTTGGGCAGTGAGGGTAATACAGATGCAGGTAAGGAGAAAGCTTCTAAGTCGATGACTTTTTATTCATGGTGCTGGGAGGTGAAATCAGGACCTAACACAGGCTAGACAAATGCTGTACCACTAAGCTCCATCCTCAGGCTCCTAACTTAGTAGGTTTTAACTGAAGAAACCATTGCCCCACCCTCAGATTTGTTTGGAGAAATTTTTGGTCACATAATTTTAGGATGGTGGTTGATAGTGGCATCTAATGGGTAGAAGACAGGGGTGTTGTAAAATATCCTACAATACACAGCCCCCCTCCTACCTGTTATCTGCCCTAAGTGGTATCAGTTGAGAAACTCTGCTGTAATTTTTTTTTTCTGGTCTTAGGGCTTGAACTCAGGGCCTGGACACTATCCCTGAACCTCTTTTACTCGAGGCAGGTGCTCCACTGCTTGAGCCAGAGCACTACTTCCAGCTTTTTCTGAGTAGTTTATTGGAAATAAGAGTCTCATGGACTTCCTGCCCAGGTTGGCTTTGAACCCTGATTCTCAGATCCCTGCTGTAATTTTTTTCACTGAAAGGGTGGTGGCAGATTAGTAGGAAGCTATAATTACTAAGGTTCCCTTGGTGTCCTACATTGCTACCTACTAAGTAGTCCTATTTTCATTTTCCATTTCTCAGTCCCACTGATGCCTCCAGGGATGTCAAAGCCTGCTAGAAAGATATACTTGGGAAGGAAGAAGGGTCATGATGGGCTTTGGATCATTCAAGGGAAGGATTCTTTCAGCACTAGGAACAGAAGCTTAAGAATGAGGATATATCAGTAACACATTTTTTTGAAAATGTCCAGTAATTTGTTCACATATTAGAGCAGCTCATAGGATGACACATCTACTAACTATTCTGAAATGTAATTTTTTTGAATGAATAAATTGAAGGATAGCTTAGCAATATGTTTTTCTCTGCTGGTTTCTACTTGATCTATCTGCCCTTCTTGCCACTACCTGTCCTAAGAGCTAAGGGCCATTTAGGTTATAAGACCTAGAGAGAATTGGGATTTTTCTCCCCACAACTTTAGGTTGAATCTTGTATTTTGTCTTTTTTGTTATTCTGAGCACTTGCAGTTGTGGAGATCAAAGACCTAACAAAGAGAGTGTGACTCTTTAAAAAAAGTAACCCTGACATCTCATAATTACAAAAATAGTTAACATCTGGAGAAGGATGATCTTCATAAAAGCAAAGAAGAAATTGTTTTCTGGGAACATGAGTTCTTTTACAAAGCAAGTTTCTGCTACTCTCATTTTAGACACTAGAATTGTAGGATGTGGGATTAATCTGTTTTTCAGAAGCCCCTACCTTGTCCCATCTCTTGCTTTACAGCTCCCGCTAAACCTAATATTGGACAAAGTAAAGAGTGTGCAGAAGCCCCCTGCTTACTCAGTCCTTGCTCTGTGGGGTGACTAATGAGGCTATTTAGTTCAGAGAGCATGCTTGGATATTTTGCTTACTGGGCAATGAGGCTATAAAAAAAGTCATGAAAATCTGAGAAGAAGGCACTGAATGTTGCAAGCAAACAACCTTTCAACAAAGTCCATTTTTTTCCAAATGAGGAAACTAAGTGATTCCTGGGAGCAGATGGGTTGTACTAACTCACAGGAGGGAGGCATAAAAGGAGGTCCTCTTGTCAAGAAGACAGCATAATTTTCAGTATCTTCCTGAGTTAAAGAATCTTCTTGCATGGCAGAGGCAATAAACTAGGTCTGGGTTCCTATACACTATAGCCTATACTATACACTGTATATACACTATATACTATATACTATACACTATACTACACTATACACTATAGCCCATCTTTGCTGTCTGTGGCATATGGTTACAAAGAGATCATCATTGAGGGAAATCTGGACTGCTCAGGATGCATAGTTTAAAAACAATTGATAACACATGAATGACAGAGAACTTTTCTGAATCAGCTGAGCTCCGACTACACACATGGTACTTTTATTTTTAACCACACTGTTCAAAACCAGATGTCAGAGCATGGCACCAGTGGCTCATGCCTGTATTCCTAGCTACTAAGGAGTCTGAGATCTGAGGATCATGGTTTGAAGCCAGCCTGGGCAGGAAAGTCTGTGATACTCATTTCTCCAATTAAGTACAAAAAAAGCTGGAAGTAGAGCTGTGGCTCAGGTGGTAGAGCCCTAGCCTTGAGCAAAAAAGCTCAGGGACAGTGCCTAAGCCATGAGTTCAAGCCTTAAGACTGACCAAAGTGAAAAAAAATGTAGTCTATCCACAAAGTAAGGTGATAGTCATCATATAAATTACTATTATAAATGGAGAAGCTGAGATTTAAACCCAAATCTCGTACACTTAACCCCTTAGTCCCCCTATATAGCAGATTCATAAATTCAGCATCTATGTCCCAGATAACTCCCTACTTAAGTTCTGAATAAAATCTCTTATTAGAAACAAACAGTAAGAGAAGAGAGATGACAGGGCCCAGCCCCCAACAAATCAGAATAAGAGGGGATATGTTCATGGCAAGATTCATAAAGAATTCTTTAGCTTTGGGTTTTTCATTATTCCTTCATGACTAAGTACAGTGCCTGGAATATACTACATGCTTAATAAATATTTAGTGATTTAAAGTAAGGTCTCACTCCCTGATTTGCTTAGAGCCTTGCTGACTGTAAGGACTTTGAAGTGACCTTAAAATTGCCTACGTGAAGACAGGAGGCAGGGAGAACTATTCCCAGTTTCATCAGCATAAATCTTTCTGTGTAATCAAAACATCACCAGGCCCCAGATGATCAGCGTTTACTGCTTTTAGCTACCTCAAACTGTTCCCTTCCCTAAAGAATAGATACTGTACCTAGACATCTTTGTAAGACAATCTTATTTCTGATGTAGTAAGAGCACAGATGTTGGTTCAAAATCCTGATGTTTCTTTGGTTATTTTTGGTGGGATATGACCTTGAGAAGGTCACTTGGTTGCTCTGTCCTGTATTCTCATCTGTACCATGTAGGAGTGGGGTTTTCTGTTTGATAAGGATCTTTTGATTTAGGACATGCTGTTATTTCCGGAAG